AAAAAACTGAGCGAGCGGATCGAAGTCTTTATATATATACAGTATATGATCATAAACCAATGACTTCTCAGTGATGTACCATGTTGCACAGGTGCAAGCTTTACATAGCCAGCGTTGGGGCGTAAATATTAGTTGAGACTCGAAGTACTCTACAGCATTATTGACGTTTATGTCACCGATCATCTTTGGTCAGATTGATTACAGATGTGTTGTGCAGGGTTTGGCAAATCTTGGATAACAACCAACAGTGGGATTTGTCTCACAGGTATTTTGGCACATGTAGAAAACGACTTATGATATTGTGATATTGTATAAATGCTGTTAGAGTGTTGTTGTTGGTGTATTTTTTTCACTCAGGAATAAATTTCTATGACCCATGTCACGCAGTTACCCTTGCGCCAAATTCTGACATGTGCTAGTGAAGGACCACCCAAACACCAAGGCAATTATGATCGTTTGTGTCCTATGCAATGATCATGGTGAAAAACGGTATTGCTTGAGTCTCGGTCTGCAGGTGTCAAGAGCCCCGGAGTGTCAAACTGCACATTAGCAAGCATGGAGGGTCAATGGTCAGTGTTATTCACGTGCATGCTGAGTCAGTGAAGATGGGCTGAAACAATCCTACCATCACGTGATTCCTAGTCGGATTTGATGATTTAAACGTATATTCTCAGTCCTGATTTTAGTTGTGCTCACTTGTGCAAACCGTACAAACAGTAGCATGGAATGCTTCTCAAGACAGGAGGGTTTCCAAGAACTCCCAACAATTCAATACAAACCCCATGGCTTGATGCTTGGCAGTCTGTTCATTTGGTGGCCGCTCCAGATGTTTTATTGTGAAGAAAGTCATGCGCAGGACCAGCCGCTGAAAACCCGCAGCAGAAGGAGCATGGAACGCTCTCAGGCGGGTACTGCTGTGACAGGTTCAAGACCCGGATTTGGATTGACAGGGTTTGGCTTATGTGCATCATCCAGACAAATAAAGTTGTTGCTTGCACTTGTCAAAGCTTTGTATATCTATATATAGCTCTACAGTCTACATCACTAGGATAAGATCTATGATCTATGCCAGATCATAGTAGCCTTTCAATGAATCCAGCTGTGAAGGACCTCTTCAGTGGAGATCCCCCTGTGGTCCGAGTGCTTCGAGAGGCGCCAGCGATTGTAGCGCGCGCCGACGAGCGCGTCGCTGAGCGCGGTCGCAGGGCACAGCTGGTCGGTGGACAGGTTTTTTAATTTCACGATGCTGATGAAACAGATTAATATATTTATATAATATATATATATGGCAACTGCGCCAACATTGAAATTACATCTGGGGTGATATTCTATTCGTGAATTACTGAATTCCATTTGAATAATAGAGCATCTCTGGGAGTTTCCTGTGGTTGGCCACATGGAAGAGAAGAACGTCTTCCAAAAGTCAACACACCTGGACGACGTCGATGGGTAGTTGGAGCAGGCGCCGATGGCTGTGCTGTTTTGGACACTTTCTTCTTCTCCCCTGTCAGGGGCCGTATTCATTCATACCGATTCATACCCTTTAGACAGTCGATTTTCTCCCCAGTGGCCCTAGAATTCTGAAGTTACTGAAGCAAAGGAATCATGTATAAGAGCACAAAAACACGCGACCATCTATGGTTCGTATACCTAGTTTGATGCGACGATGACTAAGAATTCCGTATCTTTGGAGAACATATTGGAGTTGGGGAATTCACCTGGCACTCTTGAGTGCGGTTGTTACTTTCAACATGTGCTAATGATGCTAATCGTCACTTCGGAAGGTAGAGTTTTCAGATGAACGCATGCTTGGAACGTCTAACGACTGAGTCTTGACTCCAACACACAGCTCCCCAGAAACTTGGCGTTTCAGGAGCTACAGCTGCTGAGATCCTTGGCAACACTTGTGCGCAAGGATTTGATGCGCTTGCGCGACATGCTGTTGCCTAGCTGAAAAGAGTGGGGTGGAGGGGCGGTGAGACGACCTGCGCAGAGAGCGATGCAGGGGATTCGCTATGAACCCATGTATTTCTTCATATATTTATTCATATTGTTTTCTTGCATGTTGCTGAGAGCTGGAAAGCCCCAAGTTCATGTTTGGTACTGTATACACTCTCATACTTGATTATTTAGATGTTGGTTGGTAGCATCTACTTTCTATTCACTTGCATAGCATGGTTTCATCTACCCATCCATCCATGTGGCTGGCCCTTAGGGTCGCCAAGATCGACTTCATGGGTGAGATGGAAGAGGCCGTCATGGCGTGCCATGGATGTCACGCGTTCCGATGGACAACGGGCGGTTAAAAGGAGCGAGGCTGAGGACAAAGGCTTGCAGTACGGTGTTTCGGGCCCAAAGACGACCTTCCCAAAGAGAAGAGCTTCTCCGCAGGTCTTGCAATGTATTCGGGCCAATGCGGTGCCTTCACGGTGGCAGAAGAGGTCGTTCCCATCCTGCAGGTCGAAGCCTGAGAGAGGAAGAAAGACTGTTGCATGGGGAAACACACCGCAAACTGGGTTTGAACATGGTTGAACATTGTGTTCATCACTTATTGGATCTTATTGGAAAGAAACTATTGAACCAAAAAAATATAGAAAGGAAACAATACCTCTGTTTGTGGGGTGCTGCTTACTTTGAGAGGAGATGAGCAAAACTAGATTTAAAGAAAGACCATGAAAGAGCGTTGAACAAACTGCATATGGAACTCACGAAAAGACTCCAATGTGAAATGTGAAAATGGCATGAAATGGCTATACTGACCATTCTACATACGCACTGGATGGTTCAGTTGCATGGGCATTTGGAGGTTTCGTTTTCAAGAATCACGGTATCAGGATGTGCTCTGGGCATTTTGAGTAAAGTGCTTACCCTTTGATGACTAGATAAAACATGATAAAACATAAGGGTGATCGGGGATGACATTCCAGGAAGTGAGTATCAGTATGCCTTTGAATCTCATTGCATGTCTTGTAATACTGCAAGGAGCCTTGATTGTTGTGTTTGGGTTGTCTTCAATTCAAAGCTGGGCCCACAGCTATGGGTACAGGTTTTTGCACGTGGATTGTTTTGTTCACCTGAGAAGCTGCAAGGTGGTTGATGCTCCTTACCACTGCAATCTATTGATTTTTGTTGTGAGAACCTCCAATCTTATTTATTTGGCCACTGCCAAACATGAGGAAAGCAGTATCCTATTATATCCCACCATATCCCACCCAAATCTTAACGGTATTCTTTTGGGACCGACCTGATTCTGCTACACCTGAGAAGTGCATCACACCAGCTCTCCCCACTCATGGGATTCGTGCCATGTGAATTTGGCAAAACTTGATGCTACATGTCCACCTGGCAGCCTCTGGAAACGCTGTACTTGCACTCGATGTGGAGGAGTTCAGCAACCAGCTCGGAATCAACCCACGGGTGAGAGCTTTGAAGGAATACCTCGCAAACCAAATTGGGTACTCCAGGTTTCGGCAGAAGCTCTTGTTGCATAATGCTGAAGTGCAAGATGATGAGATTTTGGTATTGCCACTGAGTCTGCAACTGGTAATCTTAGACTTTTGGCCAGCTGAAGCCGAGCAAGACATCCAGTTTCTCCATGCTTGCAGAAGAAATTGGATCAACGAAGTTGAACGAATGCTCCAACGGCCTCATCAGCCGGATACCAGCGACGAAGCTGGTCGCACTGCTTTGATTCATGCAAGTAGTGCTGGTCATTCTCCAGTGGTACGTTTGTTGCTCATGGCAGGTGCTGAAGTAAACAGAGCAGAGCCCCTTCGGCGTGGCCTTGCAGCCTTGCACTTTGCTGCTCATTTTGGACACTCTGAAGTCGTTCGCTTGTTGTTGGAGAGTGGTGCCGACAAAGACCAACTGACCATAGGTAGTGGCTGGACACCTTTGCATCTTGCAGCCAGCAGTGGCTCTGTTGAAGTTGCAGCCTTGTTGCTGGATCAAGGTGCTGACCAGCATGTTCCACATTCCGAGGGTGGGTTCGTGGCGCTGCATTTTGCTGCTCTTCACGGACATTCAGAAATTGTGCGTTTGCTGCTGGACCATGGTGCTGACAAAGACACGGCTGCCATAGACAGTGGGCGCGCAGCTTTGCATTTTGCAGCACATCGTGGGCATCTGGATGTTGTTCGAGTATTGTTGGAAGCTCACGCTGACAAAGACAAAGCTGAGACAGACAGTGGTTCGACTCCTTTGCATTTTGCGGCTCTTCATGGCTACTGTGAAATTGCGCGCCAGTTACTAGAACATCGCGCACAGGTGGACCAAGCTTCAGATAGCTATTGCACAGCCTTACATTTTGCCGCCAGCTCTGGCCATGCCGACCTTGTGCGGCTGTTATTGGAACACGAGGCAGACGCAAGTTTGACCGAGTCAGATGGTTGTACAGCTTTGTATTCAGCACTCCTTAATGGCCATTTGCACGTGGCAGAGCTGCTGCGTGGACAGGACAGTCCAAGGATTGACGAAGACGATTGATAGGGGACGGGCGTAGCGCGGCCATTGAAAAGAAGAAGGATGTTCAGACGGCACTTCCTGGGGAAGGTGCATAGCAGAGTTGGCTAGGAGTAGGAATTGCACACTTTCCTCTGTGTATATAGTTGTTATCGCCACCGCCTTTTTAGTTCTATGGACTGTATATGGACTGTGTGTGTGTATATATATATATGATGATTCATGACTATTCATGTTCTGGTGTTGCATGGCTTTTGCTAAGTTGGATACCTGACGGTTGCTTCAACCATTTTGGTCATGTGAAATCGAGGCCTCTCTCCGTTTGGCTCATTGGTTTGAAGATCCGCGCGCAGCCAGAGCCCCAGACGGCTTGGTTTGGACGACTTGATTGCAAGAGCCACTTGAATTGGGGCTTCAGCGGTCAATATGTTGGTTTGGTTTGGCCAAAGTTCTTTGTGTTCGTCCAGCAGATTTGGGGGGGCCTGGCTTAAGAAAGCTCTCGGGTTGTCTCCTGCCAGTCGTGTATAGGTCTTTGACATTACATGGGAACCTCTTTGTCCATTGACCCGCAGCTGTGTGAAGCTTTGGAGAATCTCATATGTTGATGTAGAGGAGTCTTGTGAAAAAAGGAATACTACACGTTTTGTTCCATTGTCAAACAGCATTCACTGTTGAGCATCATGCTATCTACTGTAAGTACCAGTACTAGTTACTATCTTTTTCTATATTTTGGACTGCTGGGACAAGACGGCAAAGAACACCAGTGAAACTTGCTGTTGGCAGGGGACGAAACAATGCATTTGTCGGCAATTTGGCCGGATGAACATGATTCACACGCAGATTTACACTATCCAGAGTCGATGGTATTCGTTGACCATCTTAGGCAGAGCATCCATCAAAAAAACGTGCAACTAAGTAGGGCCCGTGGCAGTGGCGTTTTAGGTGTCACCACCAATACTCCCCATGATCAACTCTTCAGCCCTGCCAGCTTACAAATCGTCAAGCATTTGAGGTGTGAACTCACATGACCATCACCATGATCACCCATGATGATCACCATGACCCACTGTTCATCACCATCTTCACCGGCTGGCTCTTCGGCTTCCTGCCCAGGTGGCTGGAAGCCGCATGGGGCCAACGGGGCCACGAGCCGCGCCTCGGAAAAAACAAATACTGTCCCTTTTGGGCAGGACGCCAAGCTATGCCAAACTTCATCACTTGGTATTTGATTACAACAGTTTGGTCAGTTTGGTTGGCCTTGTGCATGACAGATTCGATTGGGCCCAGCCTTGCGCTGCGAAGGTTGTGTTACCGCCTGGATTTGTTTTGGCGACCGCGGTTACTGTTGCTTTCACATCTTCGAGTAGCAGCTCAGAAACTTGGCCGCACAGACGGAGGCTCGACATTGGTTCCTGTGTAATGGGAACGTCTGGATTTGTCCCAATTCGTCATGTGCACGCGCCATGCGTGCATTCACTTAAAGTCTCACGCACGGCGTGCTGAGCACATGCAAGTGGGGGCCTTGGAGTCATCAAGTTGCCCTCAGGAAAGAAAACATATCGTTGGACTCCTACAGCTTCAAGCATAAGGCCAGCGATTTTTGTTCGGGAAATGAGTTATCATTTGTCACTATATCCGACCACATGCTTTCAATATGCATAGTCAGCAACCCACCCATCCCCAAGGTTCATGGCATATTGTTTCCACTGTTCAAGTTCTCATTTCATGCGTGTGCAGTGTTGTGTGTTGAAACAGCACACTCAAATTAACTGTTCCCAGATTTCCAACCATGGCGGCATCAGAGCTAGCTGGATAGCCACCCACGCTTACACGAGGTGTAAGAGTTGCACCTAAATGTTCGCTCGCATATCCAGAACATTGTCAGGTCCTCGATCGGATCGAGGAAGAGGAAGATGTCCAGGACGTTCAAGTGTGGGATGTGGGGACAGTTCAGACTCGGACCTTTTTCCATGTCACAGGTTGGCTTGCCAAACCTACTGTCATTTTGACTTGGAAGGGCTGAAAGACCGGCAAAGTAATTCCTGCCATTCTGGAACATGTTCCTCGCGACGTGAATGGAATCGAGGCATCTATATGGCATCTATAATCTATTTATTTTTTTATTTGGGAGTGAACAAATTACAGATTCACAGTGAGTCATTCTAGTGTGTCAAAATTGGGAATCTAGCCTTGTTGGATGATGTTAGTTCAGTCTCAAAATGATTATGCGTCGGCTGCTTTCCAGGACCACCCTGCCTCTGGGCTCTATGTTGTGGGTATTTTCCTGAAGGGTGCATCATGGGAGCGGAAAAGAGCAAGATTGGTGGCTGGGATTTGATTGGTGGCCAGTCACAGGGTGAAAGTGATGGATCGGACAAAAATCTGATGAAGCAAAGTTCAGATCGACCTCGTTTCAACAAACAGATCCAAGAATTCATGGAAGCTAAGCTACTACTTCGTACTGAGGCCTTTTCAGCCTGTCTTCTATACCGGCCCTTTTCTGCTCTTTTCTGCCGCATGTCCTGCGGCTTCAGGTCGATCACCGTCCGGAGGAGCTTTTCTATAAGATGCCGGTGATCCACTTCATCCCCTCCGCAGAGCCATGGATCGACAGTCCATCGAAGGTTTCGATGGTTTCCGGGGGGGAAAAACGAGTCACACCTGACAGAGTGCGTTTGGTTGCCATGGTTTAAGAATGGCCCCTGGGGGGTCTGGGATGAAGCCATATCAACCCAGCAGGGCCTATTTGTGGCATTCAAGTGCTTCGCCTCACACTAGGACTTGCAATGAAGCGGAAAGTTGTTCGCTGACAATAGTGGCAGAAGTGTGGAGCAGGATTAAATGCTCAGTAGCAGCAACTGTGCACAAAGTGATTGCATTCCAAAGAAAGTACAGGATGTTGCTAAAGCATGCTAAAGCTTCTTGCATGTATTTCCGTTTCAAAAGACTACGATCTAAGAACTACAAGCCGAAGCTTTATAAGCACTACGGCCTCCCATTCTTCCATGCCGAGCACTTCTGCAAACTCTCTGCTGATGGGGAAGATAGCAACTTCATCACTGAGGCTGGGTCGCAGGATTGGTTCAAACATGTTTATATAGGTTCCGTTGGATGAGGAGGATATCCTTTCCAAGATGTAGACTGTAGACCCCCCTCAATAGGGGACATAATTTCGGAAGGATAACGATAAATTACATGATCCCCCAAGACATTTCTCCTCACAGTGCGCAATCAACCCAGATGCGCTTTCGACTGTGGCAGGTTCTCTTGCGTTCAGATCGCCCAAAGGATTGCCTCCTGAAGAGTGTGGCGCTCTTCTGTGAGTTGGCTTCGCATCTAAGAAGAGATGATTGTGGGTCCTGTGGCCGTTTCACTTGGCAGGGACATCTGACAGAGTGGTTGATTCTTTATATGCTCGATGAAAGTGGGTTGGAGGTTTCTGTGGTGGAAGGGGGTCTCAGTGTTTACGGGGAACTGGGAGAATGGGAACCTGTCAGAGCGAAGTTGTTGAGAAGATGACAAAGTCAACAGATACAGATGATATAATCAATGACCCAACTTTGTTCAGGCATGAGGCCTACCATTTCCTCCAGTTGGCAAGCTGTCTTGGCATGAAAGAGACTGGCAGACTGCCAGCTTGAGAGCAGAGGCAGGTCCATGACGGCATTCTGTGGCAGTGGCAGGTCTCCGCTGGCCACATCAGACCTGATCAAGACACAGCGATGGCTAGGTGTCAAAACTATTCTAAACCTGAATCCCCAAATTGTGGTACAGTAGGTTGGTTGACATGCCTGACAGTCCACTACTCACTTTGGAGCTTGTCGGGAGGACCTTCCACAAGCTGACACCATGGCCAGATCCGTGGACAGCCCCCGAAAGTGTTTTCCTCGTGGTGCATAAAGATCTGCAGGCGCAGGTGTACCTGCCATCTCAGAGCCGACTGAGTCGTACCAAAAGTCAATACGCAGGGGGACAGCCACAGGCAAAAGATGAAGTGCATTGGTTGGGGGTCCGAAGCGCAGATCACATTTGAGGTAGCAACTTCTTCCTCAACTTTCAGCATGCTGATCAAGTACCAAGCCAGACCCATGAGAGAGCATCAAGATGCGTCGCAAGGATACTACCGAGCAGGACGTGAATGGCACCTTTTGCGATTTTGTATGTGTCTTTTTTGGTTAAGTCATCATCGAGATACTTTCCAGCTTGATTCGCTTGATTGGGCACCCTTCTACCGACCAAGGGTGATGCTTACTTAGAAGTTAGGATTTAGGATTTTCGAAGTTCATATACAAATCTCACATCTCAATATCAATCTCTGATTGAGAGAAATTGCCGGATGCAAGAATGATCCACACGTGCACGAACACCCTGTTTCTTTTCCTTCAGCAGTTTGTTTGGACTCGGTACTTGTGGATTTGGGACCAGCCTGGACCAGCAGTTTCTTCGGGGTGCTACCGCGGAGGACCTTGTTTTTTTTGCGGTGGCCACTACTCTGTCGGCCACTGTTCCAGCCCTGGTAATGTGCTGGGAGATTCAATGTATATATATATATAGCATAATGTACGTAGTAGGATATAGATTGTAATTACAGTATTTGGGAGGGATGGTGATCCTCCACAAAACCCATCCACCGACGGTTCCTCCGTGGCGCAGAAGGCCCAAAACCTTCGTCAACCACCTCCAGTTCTCTGCTCACTGCTGATGAGTTGATCCAGGAGGAAAATGGCGGAGATGAAGATGATCTCCCGGTGGACGTGGAAAATTGGTACGTGGACTTGGAGCAACTTACGTCGTCAGTGCTGCGTCACAGCGGGGGTGATTCGAGGCAAAGGCCCATGAGGAAGTTGAAGGTAGTTTTTTTTTTTTGAGTGGTTGATACCTACAATGCTTGAAGTCTTTTAGTTACCAAGACATCCAAGACCATTGGAAAAAATCATGAAACACCCTGACTGGCCTTGACCTTGTGCAGGAACCTTTTCTTTGCATTTCCACCCTTGACAAAACTGCATTCAAGGAACCCGTCTGACTTAGAAAAGGTTCCTTTTGGGTCGGGCACAACTGGGTGAGTGGCTCCAAGCAAAAGGGACCCAGCAGACTGGGTGGTCCACCTTTCCTTTGAGTCACTGCCATGTACAAAGGCTTGCCGGCCCAAGAAGGGCCCTTCGACTTGAGCATCCTTCGGCCAATGTTGTCGAAAACTGCTCGGCAACAGGCAGCAGCAAAAGGAAGCATAAAGGTATGTGTTGTGTAGCTTTATTTTTCATTGTCGTTCAGGTGGAAAGACACCTGTTGGTAGAGGAAAATCATTTACTCTATAATCTGTACAAATAACAGACGTCCCGGATTAGTGAGTGGCCGTGTATATCTCCCCCTCCCTTTCGCTCTAGATTTTAGATTTATGAATCCAGGAGTGAAATATTTGCGGGCCAAGATCCACATGAAGTGAAAGCAGTCTGAAGACCAACAAGAAATTGAGTCCAGAGCACATGCTGTTGATAGTGTAGTCTGGAGAGTATGGGGATGTTTGGGAGAAGCCACCCAAATAGTCCTTGCTCCTAGTAGTAAGGCCAGGAGCCCCGATCGTAGCGTCCTACCGTATTAACATCATTTCGGTGCCTGCAGGATCGAACAACTGTTGATGCTCACAAAGTGACAGCGGCTGGGAACGGGGACTGTGCACTATAGTTGAGAGAAGGGATTCGTGATTTGTCATTTCACATCCTGGAGATTCCAGGGTTACTAGTAGCTTCTTGTTACTAGTAGCGATGCACTTGTTACTCGTAGGTCCGTGTGACCCCACGTCAGGAGCCCTGACCCTTTGAGCTTCGACAGCCCCCAGAAGTCCACGGGCTCCGCCATGGATGACATCGAGGACCGGAGGGGCGGATCCGATTGAAGCGGGATCGAGAAATCCCAGAAATCCGTGGATTTCGGGGGCCAACACCATGGAGTTCCCCGGGAACTAGTTCAAGAACCAGGAACTAGTTGTCAAGCTGCTTGCAGGAGCTCTACGAACATGATGTGGCTTATGTCAATCGCGTCACAGCCTTGGTGTTCGTAGGATGTCGAAACCTGTTGAGTCGAGTTGGTGTGCTGAGTTTATTCATGTTACCACCTCCATTGAGGTTTGCATTGACAACAAGATCAACGTTGGGAAGTGGTATGATGCCGCTCGCTTACTGACCAAGGAGTCGGCAGTGAGCAACTTGTAGATGCCAACAGTTCAAGTGATGACTGATTTCGGGAACGTCCACCAGTTTTGGGGCATGTGCACCCGCACCCGTTTTATTTTGAAGAGAAGGACTCCACGTGATTCCCCACGAGAGATTCCGCGTCCCATGTGTTACATTGTGCTCTCGGGTTTCCGCCTCAGCGAAAACTGAGGTGACTCGCAATCTGATGGCCACCAGCATGGAAGATCTCTACGATACCCAGTGCAAGGTGACAGAACTGGATATGCCACCTGTCGGAGAGGGTCAAAGATCATGAGAGCTGTGCAGAGCTGTGAGCCGTGAGCCGGGTTCTTGATGGTATTCCACGGGGAAAAAAAACACCATCTGGAACATGCTGCACTGCTACACTTTCGTTCTGTTCCCACCCACTAGCTTTGTTTAGGATTCCAGCGTATTCCAGAATTGGCACGTCTGACCTGCATAGGCTTGGCCAAGAGGTCCTGCAGGTCCATTTTTCTTTGCACGTGAGCTTTGAGGTTGTGTATTTCAGCAGTGCCACACTGTAATTGTACAGATCGTTTTTTTTTGAGCATGTTTTAGTTTCTTTGTTTGTCTGAACTGGTGCCCAAACCTTGTTTTGGACGGATAGACAGGGATGGTTTTCCTGATCTCGAAACCTCTATGGCTCATGAGTTTGGTGAAGGCCCCTTAGCAGGATAGACTCGCACATCCATACACCTGCGCAGCATAGACGAATTCACCGGAGCTTCCCATGGGCTCTTCCCATGGGCTCATGGGCCATCCAACGCTTGTAGAGGATTCTGGGATTCAATCGGATTGACAGATATCTTCCAGTGCTGCAAAAGAGGCCCCAACGATATTGGGGATGTTTTGAGGCAGAAGAAGCCAGCCTTGAGGATCTTCGCTTGGGATATCGAGTGTACCAAGGCGGGGTTTGCGCGGTTCGGGGCCCGATGGGCCCGATGCCCGGCTCCACTGCACCTAAGGACCTTAAGGTGGTCCTTAGTTTGCGGCCTAAGGTGGTCCACCCAGATGTGAGACCGAATCCGTAACTGAAGTTGGCATGAAATCATATGATGTTCGTAAATGTGCTTCAAGCACAAACCACACACTGCCACACTGCCCAAAGAAATGAACATATTAACTTATAACTCTGCAAAGTGCTAAAGGTCGGCACTCACGTTTCTACAAAAATGAGCAATTCGCATTTTCCTTGAAAAAACGATACCAATCCCAAAAACGATACCTAGCCTTGTGACGGTACACATTTTGGAATCTATCTTTGCCTATTTATTGACACTGTTGACACTCGAGACAGTCTATGTCAAGTTTTTTTTTTCATATGGTTTGCCATGCTAGTTGGGCATTCCATTTTGCTTTTGCTCATGTTCCCTTCTCTTTCTTCGATGGGAAACAATTATGGGTTTAGACTGATACCAAAAACGATACCAAACGATACCCACTTCATTCATAGGTTTGTATCCCCTCAAAAACCACCGGCCCACTCACATGCCACTACTACTGCCACTACTTCTACTTCTGCTACTACTTCTAGCACCACCGCCACCGCCACCACCGCTACTACTACTACCACCACTACCACCACTACCACCACTACCACCACTACCACCACTACCACCAC